TTCAGACAGTGGGGAGCAGAGGTTTATTATATATAACCCCCCCCCCCAAGCTTTTCCTTTATAAACCAGTTGTTCTGTTTTCAGTTTCACGGACCTTTCTCAGTAGATTCTCTCCACCCACTTGCAGGCTAAAGCTGCACCGTTTACAAAGATTTACCATATGAGCTGTTGTTTATATAGACTGCTGACCTCAGTTTCTCCATCTCCACAAGGAGAGTAAATCTAATCGTCCAAGATAAGTTAAAGAATTGCATGGCCTTGTAGCATTATGCATACCATTAAGGGAATGTATTCTGTGAAAAGATGAAGTGTGGACAAAACCTGCCAGGGACAATTCCTGGATACTGAGTCTTGCATTCCTCTCTTTTTCATCTTCAGAATGGTAAAGGAAGCCCAGAACTCTATGGCGCAATTGTCACCCATGTAAGCCGTTTGCAGATTTTACAGGATCTTGGGTGGTTTAGAGTCCACTTTGACCATCAAAAAGGGTATGCTGGAAATTGTGGGACATGCAGGGACACAAGCCATACGTGAGAGGGGTGTAATAAGGACGGGAATTGGGTGAGATTTGAAAAAGCTGGCTGGATCCAACCCATTATTTTATTTTACACCTGTATTCATTCTTCTTTGGCCTTCTGGGTTCTTGTTCCCACTTGGGACTCTGCATCTTATCCAAATGCATGTTCCCAAGCTCCTTGATTGGGTCTCCAGTCTGTGGGGCTTTCTGAGTACCAGAGTTCATGGGTCTGTTAAGGGAGGCACCAGTCGTTTGTGCGGGCAAGCTGTTTGCCTGTGCTTTCAGACACAGGGGAGTGATTCTCTGTTTCCATTTCAGGATGTGCCCTTTGCACTTAACCATTCCCTCCTTTCCATCTAGGGTCCTCCTGGCCCCCCCGGAAATCCTGGGCTGCCAGGCCCTCCGGGACCACCGGGTGTTCTTTATTTCAATGTAAGTCTCTCCCACTTAATTCTGCCAGTGTGTAGCCATGGTGCATGATGTTGCAGACTAGGTTATGGCCCACACAGCTTTTGGAGAGGGCTCCGTGAAGTGCTAGGAAACGGCAGGGATCTGTGGACTCAGCTACACATTACCTTTCTTCACCGGCTTATACTCATTTTCCCATACACTCCATAGCCACACAGGACCTGCAGGGAACGTGTGTGCGTGTGCGAGAGAGAGAGAGAGAGAGAGAGAGAGAGAATGGGCTCAGAATGCAGCAGGAGGAAGGACTTGCCTCCAACCCAAGCAGGTTTGGGGTTTTTTGCATGAAAACTGTCCGGGCAGGAGGGGGGAAGAGTTATTTAGCTGATTTTGCTGCTCCTCATAAGGCTTGCAGGCCAAGGCCATAGCAGCAAAAAAGACTGATATTCTTTATTCTTAAAGAAATCCTCTCTGTGTGAAGAAAGGAGAGAGAGGCACTCATATCTATCTGAGGCTAGGATGGAGCGAGATTAAGAGATCACGTTTTGCTTTCTTAGAGGGTGGAGAGAGAGGAGAGGAGAGGGAAGGAGAAGGCTCAGGGATTAGTGATCAAAGAGACAGCAGCAGAACAGATGAGGAACAGGATGCAGAAAGATCTGGCCTGTCCACCTTACTAGCTCTGGTGTGTTTGGGGCAAAGAGATGTTGCATCGTCCTTCACTTCCAAGAAAGAGATCCTGAGAAGGGGGTGTGTGGGCTGATCTGCCTTCACCTTTAGCCTGTATCCTTCCTTTTTTGGGACTGCTTGGCACCAGCTTCTCTCTTTTATTTTTCTTACCAGAGAGTGTACCCCCTCCAAGCCAGGCCACTTTGCAAGTATCCAGTAAGTTTGTCTCACTTTATCAGTGGGTCACCTCTGGTGTTTGCAGCATATGCCATTTGTGATTGCTACAGCTCAGCTAATCTAGTGTTCCTCTCTTTCCTGCCAGCAGACCCCGGGTCCATCTTGGCATACAGGTATATTACCTCCTCTCTGCATGTAGTGATGTTTCTGTAACATTCCCAAGTATGTAACTGTCTTGTGTGTATTTCCGCTGCTCAGGTTTTAAATTCTGTATTTTAATGAATAACTGTTAATGTTTTCTACTTTTATTATGTTTTTTGTTTTGTAAACTACCTTCAGCAAGTTCCCTGGAAAGGGAGCATAAATATTGTTCAAATACATACATGACTTCTTGACTAAGAATCCTAGTGCACAGTAAAACTGACTCTGGTTAAGCTATGTATCTGTGTCCATACATCATGGATAGCCAGAGTTAGTCTTATACAACCAATTCTTCGTGGTGTGAGAAGTGAGAAAGGGAGAGAATGAGGATCTGGGTGAGTGTACAAGCTGGGTCCATGCCTGTTTTTATTTATTCCTGATTAAATGGGGCATCTGAAGGCTTTTCTGCATCCCATTTCCCTCACTTTGGGATTTTTTTCTTGTTCCACATGTGTTTTGCTCCCTCTAGTGGTCAATTCGATATTACATCGGTTTGTGTCAGGCATATCTCCCTGCAGATTTAAACTGCAGGTTTTTATGCCAGAAATAAGTCGGTGTAATATCAAATCGACCACCAGAGGGAGTAAAACACATTCAGAACAGACACCCCCCCCACCCCAAGAAACAGGAACTTCAAACAAGGAAAATGAGGTTATGGAAAAGTCCTGATGCAATTTACATGATAACAGGGAATTTTGCCTTCCAGGCCTGTCAGCATACTGGTTCATGAATCTGAGCTATCACTATTCTGGCAAGAATTAATATGTAAGGAGAAAGTGTCCTGCACCAGCCACTGCTCTCATTGCAAACAGCATCTCGAAGCACTCGGTATCAATGAAAGCAACAGGGGCCAGCAGGGAGGATTCTGAAGACTTTCCATCAGGCAAGCTCCTCCTCTTCTTATAGGTGCCAGGAAGGGACAGTAATTCTGACCTTCTTCTTCCTTCCAGATGCCGACTTGCCTCCGAAGGACTCTCCTAACGGAAACCAGAATGGATTAAAGGTGTGCCATTGGTGTTCCTTGTTGGCCTCTCCTTTATGTTTGGGGTAAAGAGCTGAGCACGTGTGTAGTGCTTTTCCCTGTGCAACTGCTGCCAGGCTCCAGGCATTATGGGTGGGGGGGGGGGGTTCCCAGGTCAGAAGATAATCTAGCTCCCTTGCAAGCCTGGCCTCATCCTAGATAAAGGCCCAGATATAAGTGTTGGGGGTCAGGGAACTCTGAGCTTTCCTGCATCTCCCCCCACCCTTCTGTGGCTCAGCAGCAGAACATGTTCTTGACATGCTGAACATCCCAAGGTCAATCCCTGGCATCTTCTGCTGAAAGGATTAGGTAAAATGTGATGTGGAAGACCTCTGCCTAAAATCCAGAAGGGCCACTACCAGTCTGAGTAGACAGCTTAAAGAGCAATTGGGATTACCTTGGGCATATAAGAAAGGGCCGCAAGAGTTGAGCACTGGCTCATCCCTTCCTGCCCTCCCTCTCATAACGTGCCCAAATTCATAGTGTAGTTTCAGGAGTGTTACTATTGTAGAATAAAATAGCTAGTTATTATTTCAAGGATAGTCCTAATTCGGGCTTGGTAAATTTCAGTGATGTTTATGCTGAAAGGGAATCTCCTCTGCTTTACCTTTCAGCGCGCCACCTTTGTTTTCAAGTCTAAGGAGCTGATGTTCAAATCCACCTCCTCCATTCCCGAAGGCAGCTTGGTCTACGTCAGCGAAGGGAGTGAAGCTTTCTTCCGGACCCCCAAAGGATGGAGCAAGATTATGGTAGGGTCTGTTTAGACCTGGGAATAAGTGGGGTAATTTTTGTTTCTAACCACATACAATAAATATAAAATTCATAAACATAAACACAATTTCAACAGGAACAGGAAGGAACACAATTTCAACAGGAAGTTTTAAAAATAAACAGGGCATGGTTTCCAGTCCTGAAAAACACAAAATGCTCTACATCTCACAACAGCACTACAGATAAGATTAGAATTTCAACAGCCAATCCATATGCAAAAGAACCTCCTCAGGAAAGCTCCTCCCTTAGCATGTCACAGCCTGGGAAACTCCTACGAGAGAATGACTCAGTCCTACCCCACCTTCCTGAGTAGATATAAATGACCTGCCTACCATTTTTCTTCTCACCTTGACACAGAGAGTATTCCATCTTTCTGTGTTATACCTCTGAGGATGCCAGTCACAGCTGCTGGCGAAACGTCAGGTCCTACAATGCCAAGACCACGGCCATACAGCCCGGAGAATCTAAAACTAATAAGACATTTTGTTTACTGACTCTGTAGATGTGCATTACTTGGGTTTCTTTTATGCCTGTATGTGTGTCAACTGCTGTTACGTGGCTTCCAACTTATGGAGACCATATGAATTAATGACTTCTAAAACATCCTCTCGTTAACAGCCTCACTCAAGTCTGGCAAACTGAGGGCCATGGCTCCTTCTGTAGAGTCAATCCATCTCCTGTCGAGTCTCCCTCTGTTCCTGCTGCCTTCACCTTTTCCTGGCATTACTGTCTTTCCCAGTAACTCTTGTCTTCTCATAATGTGACCAAAGTACAATAGCCTCCATTTAGCCAGTTTAGTGTAGTGGTTAAGTGTGTGGACTCTAATCTGGGAGAACTGGGTTTGATTCCCCACTCCTCCACTTGCACCTGCTGGATGACCTTGGGCAAGCCATAGTTCTGGCACAGCTGTTCTTGAAAAACAGCAGTTTCTGTCAAGAGCTCTCTCAGCCCCACCTACCTCACAGGGTGTCTGTTGTGGGGAGGGGAAGGGAAAGGGGATTGTAAGCCGCTTTGAGAGACTGAGTGAAGGGCGGGGTATAAATCCAATCTCTTCTCTTCTTCTAGGGAGAGTTCAGGCTTGATTTGATCAAGAACCCACTTTTATCCCTGGCTGATTACAAATTACAGGGCATTTTGAGGGAGAGAGGAGAAAGGGGGCTATAACTGTGTTGCTTGGGTCACTTGCTTGAGTTATCTGGCGACAATGGTTGAGAGGGCAAATCTATGTTAAATGTTTACCATATGAGAGCAAATGATTGTTGTAAGATTGACTATCTGTTCTTGCCTCTCGGTCAGCTGGAGGATTCTTACTCTCTGTTTGCTGCAGATGACCCTTCAGTGCCTACAGAAAGAAACCAGGTGAGGCATTCCCCCAGGCCACCGGCCCTGTTGCCCAGATGGGATCTTTCCTATTGGAGCAACAAAGGTCGCACCTGAGCCGCTGATTGCAATGGCAAGAAATAGCTGAAGTCTTTTGCACAGGGAAGAGAGAGCCTCCCTTGCAAAACAAAGTCTGACACTATTTTTCAGGACCCTGTTGACACCTGCTTCAACAGCAAACAGTTCTGTATAGATTAGCAAGTACTGCTTCCCAAAGTACATTGAGAGGCAAACAAGATATTTCATGTGGCTTTGTGATACTTTCCTCTGCAGAGTGGTTTTTTTGGGAGAAGGGTGAGAATCAGTTTGGTGTAGTGGTTAGAAGCGCAGACTCTGATCTGGGAGAACAAGGCTTGATTCCCCACTCCTCCACATGCAGCTGTTGGTGTGACTTTGGGTCAGCCATAAGTTCTTTCAGAGCTGTTCTCTCAAGAACGGTCCTCAAAAGAGCTCTCTCAGCCCCACCTACCTCACAGGGTGTCTGTTGTGGGGAGGGGAAGGGAAAGAAGATTGTAAGCTGCTCTAAGACTCCTTCAGGTAGTGAAAGGTGGGGTATAAATCCAACCTCCTCTTCCTCCTCCTCCTCCTGTTCTTCTTCTCCTTCTTCACCTTTAAAAGCCTTGGTAGGCCAAAGAAGAAGGGCAGGCATATGGGGAGAGAGTTTTTTACTTTTCCTCTCCCGTAACTTTTCTGCTCAATGTTGCCCTGTCCAAGATGCTTTTCTCCCTATGGAGGGCAAAGTAACAGAGATCTTGCACCTTCTTACCCAAGGGTGGGAAAGCAAGTTAGGTGTGTGGGGCAAGGGCAACAGTTCCAAGTCAGGAAAGAAGCAGCCCACAGAGAGAGCTTTGCAGGAAAGAGCAGGATTGATTCTCTATAACTGGAGTCACCAGGAGCAGGGAGCAGAATTAACGTGTCCTTCCCTTCCCATTGTTATCCCTAAATACCTCCATTCATATTCTTTCCATATAAGGAAGGGGCTTCTATCCTCTCCTATAAGAGAATGTGGAGAGCTGTAACTGGGGACACTGTTTACTCCCCTGTGCTATTCATGGAATGTGCATCACCCTTCATAATAACTGCCGTTTTGCTGGAGGTAATTTATTGGAGAAGTTTATCTTGGCTTCCAAGGGTTTGTTGTTTTTTATTTATTCATTTATAGTCCACCTTTCTCACTTGGACTCAAGGAGGATTACACAGAGGAGTCAATACAATCGACAGGATGGGGTATTTAATAATATAAAAGGTTTAGGACTGTAGAAAATTGTTTTGCAAAGCAAAACAAAGGGCTTTTCCACATTCTCATTTGTGTGCTCCTGTTGCTTGGAGGGGTGTCTGTTCGCACATGTTTTGCTCCCTCTAGTGGTTGATTCAGTATTACATCATGTTGTGCCCAGCATAAAAACCTGCAATTTAAATCTGCAGGGAGATATGCAAGACATACAGCAGTGTAATATCGAATCAACCACTAGAGGGAGCAAAACACATGAAGAAAAGAAACTCTGAAGCAATAGGAGCCAGGAAAATGAGAATATTCTCAAAAGTTCTACTTAGTAGGACTACAGGAAAAAGTCTGAAAATATGTTGGCAATACTTGGTTTGGCAAGAGGGGGGCAGAACAAGACTCCTACTAGTAGGGATTCATTGGTGGCCAGTGTACTTCTTGTAGAACAAATACCACCACCCCCCATCAAACTTGCTTCAGTTGCACAACTTGTCTGTGTTGCATCCTGGGTAGTCCTTTTTTTGGTATACAGTATGAGTGGCAGGGTCTCAGATTCTCTGGATGCATGGAATGTAACAGAAGTCTTGACAGTTCCTTTATCCTAGAGTTCCCCTGGTTCTCCTGGTGTGCCAGATAACTGGGAATGCTGCATGGGTTTGGATTTGTTTTGCTGAATCCAATAAAAACTGGGTTTTTTTCATATTTTCTCTATGGAGCATTTGAAGCAGAAAGACCAGGGCACCACACCTGCCACAACTTCCCGTGTGACATCTCTGGTAAGATCTGCAGCCAGGCCAGTAAGTATTGTTGTTCAGCCCAGGCAAAACTCAGCTTGTCCTTTCTCCACATCATCCTCTCCTCTACTAGCACTAGAACCAAGGAAATCTGTAGGGAGAAGATGGTGCTGGCAGCCATACAGTCTGCACAGAAGGCTATCAGGAAGATGTAGGATAGTGAATGTGAATGGTTAAAAGGGTGCTATGAAATAGAGATCACCGGGATGCTAAATTATACCAATTATACCAAGTGCCTCATTTATGCAGTGAATGCATAGCCCTGAATTATTTACTTATTATTTACTGAATTATTTACCTACTGAAATGTAAAATTCATTATTTCAGGACACTTAGACCATGCCAACTTAATTTATGATCAGCAAAAGGGCAGCTCAAAGGAAGCCTTGCGGTGCTTCTGGAAATTGTTCAGGCTAGGTGGGTCTTGTGCAAGAGGAAGCATCAATGGCTCTCTGTCTCTCTAGGTCCGAAAGAACGAAGTCCGAGCTACAACTCAAATTGCACCAACGAGCATCTCCAAGAGGATCCCTTCAGTGAGTTCAATAGGAGCAGTCACATTTCCTCTCACAGGAGCTTGGGGACTGTAGTTTTTGTTAAGGTGGAAGAGTTCTGAGAAATCTTCATAGGTAACTGGGTGGTCTTATCACTAGGGTAGCAAGAAGCTACTCATCTATTTTATTTGTTGCAATTTCTAGTCCATCTTTCTCAAGATGGATTACAGTACGGCGTAAGACCCGAAGAAACGTTCATTATTAAAACATAAAATACCTTAAATCTCGCTCCAAAGCCCAGTTCTAAAAACGAGACTTCAAAGTGCCCTGTCTTTTTATGAAAATGCACTTCTTTAAAAATCTGGCTGCATCAGTCTCCCGGAAAAGCTGACTAAGGGGAAACCTTCCTCACTGACTGACGCAGGAAGGTCATTCTATCAAACTGTATAAATAAAAAGCCGATCACCGAATTCAGGAATAAGTGGAGAGCCTTTTATAATTATTACAGACAAACTACATAGATTAGATAAAGCTGTTAGAAGTTACAAAGAAATTTAAATTGATTAATACTCAAACTGTATAATCATATCCTTGTAGTTATACTCATTAATCTTGTATAGTTACATATTTACTGGTTCTTATATGATCGTATAAACTTTGTATAAAGATAAGAAAAATGGGGGGGGGTTTCACTCTTTTCTTTTTTATGATTCTTGTTTATGTGTTTTCTTACCTAGCCCTATAGATAGGAAATAATGGAAATGTACACGGAAATATATTCTGTTGAAGTATTGATTATCTTACCATATTTTGATTTGTTATGACACTTTTTCATGTTTTATATTCTTATATTATGCAATGTCCTTAAAATGTGTTTAACAAATGGCGTTTTGTGCTTCTCAGTTTCCCTTTTTCCCTTTTCATTTTGTATCCCTTTAAATGGTAAAATAAAATATATATAACAAGGAGGGTCATTCTATAAAACAGGTCTCTACTGAGAATTTTCTGAATAAGCAATAGGGGGACTTCACTGCCTGCAAGGTGGTATCAACAATGAAGTCCTAGATCATGACCCTTTTGTGCCATTCTGATAAGCTGGTTTCACCAGCTTGAGACCCATAATCCCCAGTGTGATACAGAACTGTAACTGCTGTGGTTCCTTGGCATGGAACCATGATAGCTAAGTGAAGGTGCTTATAATTTGTAGTGTAGATTTTTCTTTCTGAGGACTTGACTAGGTCCTTAAAAGGAAGGGAGGTTGCTAATCAATGCTCCCTCTAAGCTGTGGAGTCTTGTGAGCAAAAGTTCTACTTTGTGAGCTGCTGGCATTAAAGTTGTGAGCGAACGATTTGGCTGCTGCATAAATTAGTTTGCTCCGGAGCCATCCTTCCTGAGCGGAGACAAAAATGTGTGAGCTGTAAGTTAAAAAAACTGAGCTAGCTCACACTACCTCATCTTAGAGGGAACACTGTTGCTAATGTCTATCTGGTTCTGAGAAGCAGTGCTGACTACTCTGCCCTGATAAACTGAGTCTTCTTTGCCTGTGGTATTTTTATCCCAAATGCTTCCCTTTTCTAGCTCCGCCTAGTGGCACTCAACATCCCTCTGACTGGCAACATGAACGGGATGCGGGGTGCTGACTTTCAGTGCTATCAGCAAGCACAAGAGGCACAGCTGTACGGAACTTTCCGGGCCTTCCTAGCCACACCTACTCAGGATCTAGTCTCAATTGTAAAAAGAACAGACAGAGATCGGCCTGTCGTCAACCTGAAGGTGAGTTGACATCTTTTCAGTAAAGGGAGCCTTCTTGATCACTGGTGGTGCAAGAGGCACTTCGTGGTCGCTTACCAACCACCCAAGCTCACTCAAGTATTTGAGAAGGGAAAAGACACATGACAAAGATCAGGTATCTCTGTTCTACAATGTGCAAATTGCAGGTACATGCAGCTTCAGTTTGCCTCAGGGCCATGCGGTTAACCCTTCAACCTCCATTTGGTTCACTAACTGAACCTGGGATCTCTGCTTTGTTTTTAGTATTTTAAGAAGAGAGGGTGTTTTTTAGAGGACATTTTCCTTGAATGTTAAGAGCAGGAGAGCTGGTTATGATTACTGAAACTGAACCAAAGGGGAAGGGTTAAACCCTCCGTCCTTTTTTGCACAGCCCCCGTAGCTAGGGAATTCTTTGGGAGGGGGCCCACCAGCTAATTAAATGGAAGTACAGTGCAGGTGGCAAGTTGGAGCACTTTGGGGGCAGCCCAAGAGGGAGGGGGTCCAGAAGAAACACTAGGGGGGGCGGGCCCCATGTTAGCTACGGGTCAGAGCCCCCATAACTTGCATTTTTTGGATAGATGGGAGATGTGTGATATTCATCTGTTAGATCTCTGAGTCAGGTGCCAACTTGGAAACTCTTAGAGATTCTGCTGGACAGTTGTTGAGCTTCCTCCTTCTCTCTTCTGTAAGGAAAGCTACGGTTTTAGATACTTGAGGAACCCAATGGTTTTGTAGGGACCTAAACCAGGGGTGTCAAACATGCAGCCCGGGGGCCAGATTAGGCCCCCCCAGGGCTTCTATCAGGCCCGCAGTAGAACTGGCTGTCTTCTGTTTCTTTTTCCAGTTCTGCTGCTGTTGCATCAAGTTTGCAGCTTACAGATACACACCTGAACAGCATACTCAAGATTGCAACAGCACATTTGATGCAGTAATTCAGAGCCAGAGGTGTCAGTTATCAGACACTGTTAAATAAACAAAATATTGCAAGAGTGCTAATGTTTTAAGCATGTTTTTAAGTAAAAAAAACTCTTTGTGTTTGTGTCTTTTATAACGTTTATATCTCCACTACCTGGCATTACATTTTATCAGGGCTTTTTTTGTAGAAAAAGCCCAGCAGGAACTCATTAGCATAATAGGCCACACCCAACAACAGAAACTCATTAGCATATCCAGCCACACCCGACAGCATAACTCATTAGCATATTAGGCCACACCCCACGTTACCAGAAGTATGGTCATCCAGCCACACCCACCTTTTGCTTCTTATTCTGTTTACCTTGTTTATTGTCAAAACCTAGGGCTTTTTTGTAGCAGGAACTCCTTTGCATGTTAGGCCACACACCCCTAATGTAGCCAATCCTAATGAGTTTCTACTGTTGGGTGGGGCCTATTATGCTAATGAGTTCCTGCTGGGCGTGGCCAACTTGGGAGCCAGCTGGAACTCCGTTCCTGTGCGTTCCTGCCCAAAAATAGCCCTGCATTTTATTACACACATGGCCCAGCCCAACAAGGTTTCATTTATGTCAGATCTGGCCCGCATAACAAATGAGTTCAACATCCCTGACCTAGACACTACTACTCAGTAATGGGCTATTTCTATGGCTTGGGGCTGCAAAAACATGGGTATGGGGCCTGTTGATTCCACTGATCATAGACTTGATATTGTTTCCAACTCCAGGGTAAGCTGTTGGCAAAGAGTTGGAATTCCCTTTTCAGTGATGATGGTGCTTTCTACTTTAACACCCTGAGTGTTCCTATCTACAGCTTCAGTGGCCATAATGTCATGACGGATCCAACATGGTAAGCACAGCGAGGAAAAAGAAAGGTGCGAGACTATGGGCTTTCCCACACTTCTGACTTTTGTCACTTGTGTGCTCGTACTGCATCGCCCCCCCCCGTTTCCACGTATGTTTTGCTCCCCCTAGTGGTCACTTCAATATTTCATTGCGGTATCTCCAGTTTATTTCCATGCACTTCTTGGGAATGAACCAGTGAGTGATACAGCAATGACATACTGAAGTGACCACTAGAGGGAACAAAATGTGCAGGAGAAAAAACATGACGATATACAAGCACATGAGCAATGAAATAAAATGTGCAGAAAAGCCCTATGTCAGAGGTACAGACAGGTCATCCCAAAATATACTAACCAGCTGCCATGTTAAGCAGGGGCTTAACAAGGGAGTATCCAGAGTGGGCAGGCAGGAATGTATAATACCATGAGTCAGCAAGCACCCGGTTTAGCCTCTGATTGCACTGTTGAATTCTCTGGGTAACTTCAGTCAAGCCACTGTCTGTCATCACATCCACCTATGAGAATAATCTTATAGGATCATTGTAAGAATTATTGAGAGACTGTATGTGCGTTGATTCAAGTGCACAGATACATTAATACTATTAAAATGTATTACCATCATGGCTTAAGGTTAAACTAGGCATGATGGCTGTAGCTCCATGTGTGGTAAATGAGAAATCAGCCCAATCACATAGAACAGGAGACCCCCCAATCAATCGTGTGGAATTTTGAGAATGGGGAACAGGCATCACCACAAAATGGCTGCTACGTGACCAAGGTCAGTTACAAAATGGCTGCCATGGGGTGCCTAGGCCAACTAAGAACATTAGGAAGTTGCAGGCCGTGTATCCTTCCACGAAGGGAGACAATACATGGAACAGTTGCTATCATAACCTAGTGTAGCCCTTGGAATGGTTGATGGAGGCAAGAGAAAGGATTTTCAGATGACTTGCATGTCTTCTTGACGCCTTGTGGCTGACCTCCTCTGCCTGCTATTTCTTCATTTTTTACATTTAGGCCCCATAAGACAGCTTGGCACGGCACAAAGCAACGGGGAGGCCAGATGCAAAATCACAACTGTCAGGATTGGCGGTCGGCATCCAACCATTCAGAAGGCTTCGCCTCATCCCCCGTGAAGGGCGCCTTCCTCACAGAGGGCACACACAGCTGCTCTGATGCCCTGATCGTCCTGTGTGTGGAGAACGCCTCCCGGTATCTGCACATGTGGTGATCGAGGTACTGGATTGACAAGGACCATCAGCAGGATCTGGCTGTCGCCCAGCCTCGACTGGAGTGAAAGAGGTCCCTCAGATGCTGAAGTGGAAAGCACAGACAGTTATCTCTCTGCACCACCTTTGGAAAAGAAGCGCCTGCGGAAATGACACTGTGTACGTCAAAGTCCTCTGTGCAACCTTGTCTAGCTGCGGCATCTCATGCTAGTTGAGCGGCAAAGGGAGCTTGTGTCCTTGGCTGCTTCAGCCACCTACATGTGGTCTCCTGTGAGACGTCAAAACGTGCTTGATGCTCCTTTGCCCCACTCTGGTTGGATATCCTGGACTGCTTGTGGCAGAACACCGATGGAGATGTGCCTCTAAATGCTGGTCCTCGTACAGCGCTGTAACTTTCAAGGGACGGGTGAATTCTCACACGCTGCGGTGCAATCCTAAACCAAGTTTGCACCCTTCTAAATCCAGTAACTTCAGTAGACTTAGAAAGGTGTAACTCCGCCTAGGATTACACTGATAGTCACATTTATGTGCCGCAAGTTCTGAACTGAGACACAAGATATGCCCCTTGGCGCTTACAGGCAATGGATCCACGAAATTCAGTCCCACTGTCTCAGCAACAGGTCCGAATTCTCACGAGTTCCGTTGTGTTGATTTAATTCATTTTGTAAATTTTGTTTTTGTTATGTTTTTGCGTTAGCTGCCTTTTTTAATAGAACAGAATATCTCAAAACTAGAAATTTCAGCTGCCTTTTTTGGGGAATAGAATAAAATATCTCAAAGCTAATTTTTTTAAAAGAAACCGGCACCTTTCTCTAGAGGAATAATATTATTTTTCATGCTCCTCAGTCGGTTGCACCCTGACCTGGATGGCCCAGACTAGCCTGATCTCATCCGATCTCAGATGCTAATCAGGGCCGGGCCAGACCCAGTTAGTATTTGGATGGGAGACCACCAAGGAAGCCCAGGGTTGTGACACTGAGGCAGGCCATGGCAAAACCCCACCTCTGAACGTCTCTGGCCTTGAACACCCACGGAGGTGACTTAACAGCACTTCCCACCACCAGTTGGTTGCAGTTCTCGTGATTCGTTCCCTCGTTTTGAATGAAGAATTCAGGTGATAATATCTTTGGCAACCTGTCACATGTTCCCTCTAAGCTGTGGAGTCCTGTGAGCAAAAATTCTACTTTGTGAGCTGCTGGCATTGAAGTTGTGAGCGAGCGATTTGACTGCCACATAAATTAGTTTGCTCTGGAGCCATCCTTCCTGAGCTAAGACACAAACGTGTGAGCCGGAGGCTAAAAACCTGTAGGCTAGCTCACACTAACTCAGCTTAGAGGGAACACTGGTTATGACTGTGCTGGCCACACCCTTGTTATAATTGGAAGCTTTACTGCCGAGCAGCTAGATGCTCACTGACGGCTCCAACTTTTAGCTGTCTTGTAGGCTCAGTGGATGGTTAGTTCTATGGAATGGGTCCCCGCTGGCCTCTACTCCTCCTGGAATGATCCGTAGAAAGATCCAGGAGAGACACGGTGACAGCAATGAGTAATTTTCACCAGTAGCAACTGTTTTGCCAGAGGCAGGTTGGTGGAGAGCCCATAGAATGGATTTGAGAGATTCTATTTGAAATTTGTGTTTGAAGACCATCTTGTTGAAGGACTTCAGGTCCAGGGTGGCTCTCCATTCGCCCGATTTCTTCAGTACTAGGGAAAGGGTGGAATATGCTCCTTTGAAAAGCTGATCCCAGTTCTTACGAGTTCTTACGAATTGTGCTCCAGTTCTTACAAGATATGCCATCTTGGAAGGAGGGATAAACCTGAAGGGTGGACAGTTTACAAACTCTATCTTGTAATCATATTGAATGATTTTCCTGACAAATCTGTCCTCTGTAGAGAAGAAGAGACTGGATTTATACCCCACCCTTCACTACCTGAAGGAGTCTCAAAGCGGCCTACAATCTCCTTTCCCTTCCCCTCCCCACAACAGACACCCTGTAAGGTAGGTGGGGCTAAGAGAGCTCTTTTGAGAACTGCTCGTGAGAGAACACTGGCCCAAGGTCACACCAGCAGCTGCTTGCAGAGGAGTGGGGGACTCAAACCTGGTTCTCCCAGATTAGAGTCCACGCTCCTGACCACTAAACCAAACTGGCTCTTACCAAACTGTAGATCAGCTCAAAATGAGAATGAATAATCGCAGCCAACCCCCAGGTGGAGTGGGACTTTTTGTTGAACAATTGTCTGTTCACTGCAGGTCAGGACTTCTTTCTGTCCCAGTATGGCCTGCTATTTCTGTTGTCTCCCTCGTTCCTTCCTCTGAAATAGGAGCAGAAGGGACGAAAGGAACCTTGCGGTCTGTTTTGAGAATCCGTGTCTCTAACATTGGAAGAGGTGCTAGATGGTATAGCCTTCCTTTTTTCTTTGACGTCAACGGAATCCTTTTCCAAAGATGAATCCCCAAACAGCTTCAGGCCAGAGAGTTTCTCAGCTGAAAAATTAGATTTGGAAAAGAGATCAACCTTCCAATGTTTAAGCCACAGATTGTGGCAAATAACAGTGTTGGCTACTTGAGCTGAGGCACTGAACTGGAGAGAAGAAGAGTTGGTTTTTATTCCCGCTGTTCTCTACTTTAAGGAATCTCAAAGCATCTTACAATTTCCTTCCCTTCCTTTCCCCACAACAGGCACCTTGAGAGGTAGGTGGGGCTGAGAGAGTTGTGAGAGAACTGGGACTGACCCAAAGTCACCTAGCAGGCTACACGTGGAGGAGGAGTGGGGAATCCAACCCAGTGCTCCAGATTAGAGTCCACCGCGCTTAACCACTACACCAAACTGCTCTTTTGATCTTCAGCAATATCCGTTTGCGGGTGAGGGGTGTGTGGATTCAGTTTGCAGAAGGCCATCTGCCCATATCACAATGGCTCTGCAGATACTGGAGAAAACTGCAGTTCTGCTAGCTTGGTGGGAGGGCTTCATACAGCTTCTTCAGTGCTACTTCATTTTTTTCCTGTCCGGGGGGGGGGGGGGGGGTCTTTTTTTTGTTTTTTTTTTTTTTTTTTCCGTGCGGGGGGGGGGGGGGAGGCATTGTCTCCCATCCTTCGATAACACAGCCCCAGAATTCAGAGCAGCCTCTGAGGCATCAACAAAAGGAACCTTTAAATCCTCCATAACTGAACTGGGAAGGGAGTGGATTTCTTTTAGCTAAAGCAAGCAAGCTGTGGCCTGCACCGGGCACAGTGCATTCCGCTCTCACAACCTTCTCAAAATGCTCAGGGGGAGGGGCCAACAGATGGAACCGACAGCGGTTTCTTAAAGCCGCACCTGTCTGGATTGGATGAGGCTGAGGTGTTTTTCCTGGCCTGCAGAATCCTGTTTATAATGGACAGCTTGAATGACTTTGGGTAAAAGTCTGGTCAAGTGTTCTGCCTGGAACAATCTAGTGGGAGTTTCAGGGGCAAGGCTGTCCTCCCCTGACCATCCCCCTTCTTCGTCAGAGGCTGCCGATGCCGTCCTCATGTCCCAGTGTCATTCCTCATAACGTTCAGTAGATGGCAGTGGCGCCTCATACTTGTCAGGCTCAAGCCGATTGCCCTCAGAGATGGTGGGGAGGGTTCAAAGGCTGGAGGAGAACGGGCCCGTCCCTTGGCCACTGCCCTGGGCTTCTGGGGAGGCACCCGAGAGGACCCACCAGCTGCTTGGAAAGGGACATCTCTCTGATGTATAGGAAGCCTCCTGAGAAGGAGGAACCTGAACGAAGGGCGCTTTGGTCGCTACAGCGCCTCTTTCATTGTCTGCTCTCTTCCTTTTTCCCTGTGGAAACTGCCCATGGCTGCGAAGAAATCTGGCAGGGAACAAAGCTTGGGGGGGGGGGCAGAGGTGGCGGCTGAGGGCAGGGGATGGGGGGGGGGGGCAAAAAGGGCACCTGAGGGAATCCTCTGAAGCCCCTGCTGTGACCAATCAAAGGTGCATGGAAACGGGCCCAAAAGAAAGGGCGGCCTCATAGAATCATAGAGTTGGAAGGGGCCATACAGACCATCTCCCCACTTCACCCCTGCGTGAGTGGTCCCAGCTGGGCAGCTGTACTGCAAAGGCTCTGGAGAGTTGGAAGAGTGGGGGATCCCAGCCATACCATTGGCGGGCAGGTGAAGCAGGGGATATGTGCCCCAATGCCAGCCAAGGCCACAAAGGAAGTGATGGAGAGGCACGGCTGGACAATGGAATGGGTCATTTCCTGCGGGAGCGCACAGGAGCGGAGCGCCAGCAGTAAAGAGCCCATGGGGCGGGCACTTGCAACAAGCCCCACCCCCTGCTCCCAGCAGCCCTCAGTCAGAGCAAGAGGCAGCCAGGTAAGTTGCAGAGCCCCCCACAGCCCAAAACAGTCCAGTAGCACCTTTAAGACCCAAGTTTATTCAGGTACAAGTTCTCCCTCCTCTGCGAGGACAGATCTGCACGTCCCCCCCCCAATAGCTAGCAATCCAAAACAGTCCAGTGGAGCCTGAGCGGTGGGTGTTGCCTTCTGACACACTTCCAGTGATGTCAAGGGGTGTGGCATATGCAAATAAGTTGTGCTAATGAGTTATGCTAATGAGCTCCTGCACCTCTTTTCTACGAAATGACCCCTGCAATGGAAGCATGACTGGCCAAAGCCCCAGTTGCTGCTGGACCTGGGGAGAAAATCCTCTGCTTCTTCCGTTTAAGGCTATTGAGGCAGCGGATGATTTTTTTAACTGCCTTTGGCACAGTTAATGGCTGGAAGAAACCAAAGGCCTCAATAAACTAGGCTCTCTCTATCTCTCTCTCTTTTGGGGGGTCTACAAGATGGAGCGGGCTAAGCAAGTCTTGTCTGGGGCGGGTAGGGCTTTCTGACTGGGGAAAGTCCACCTCCTGCTGGTCCTCTTAAGTTCAGGTGGGTAGCCATAATGGTCTGCAGCAGCGGAACAAAGTTTGAGTCCAGGGGCACCTTTAAAACCAACAAAGTGTTATTTGTTGGATTGTCTAGACTTGGTACTGCCAGAGAACCATGGAAAAATAGCAGACGGCTCAAGGCTTTAATGTGGCAAAGCTGGGGATAGGTGCGGCAACAGACTTACAAAGTTACATGGAGTCAGCAGTTAGTTCTAAAATTAATAAGCAATTTTCATTAAAGGAAATACATGCCAGAGAGCAGTGTTCCCTCTAAGCTGAGTTAGTGCGAGCTAGCTCACAGTTTAGCCTCCAGCTCACACATTTTTGTCTTGGCTCAGGAAGGATGGCTCCAGAGCAAACTAATTTATGCAGTAGCCAAATCGCTCACTCCCAACTTTAACGCCAGTAGCTCACAAAGTAGAATTTTTGCTCACAGGAGTCCACAGCTTAGAGGGAGCATTGCCGGAGAGGGCAGGTAAGAGACAGATATAGATTGCCTATTCTAACTAACTAGATGGTGTTCGATGCTGGACGCATGTCCAGCCTCCATGGTGTAAGATGGAGATCATGCACCTTCTTTGTGTGTGCGAATGAGAAGAGAGTGAGAGAGCAGAAGCAGAGGAAATTGCCCATAGGAGTAGCATTCTACTTCAAAGGAAAGGATCAGATAGCAGGAAGGAAAGGAAGCTCTATGTGTCCTGACCTCTCTGTCTAAACTTTTTGGTGCCATCTTCTCAAGTTTGAGACAGGAGACAGCGCAAAGTCCTCCACTTTTAACAGTATTCTGGGTATAAGCTTTCGTGTGCATGTGCAAGTGTGAAAGCTTATACCGTGAATAAAATTTTGTTGGTCTTAAAGGTGACACTGGACTCAAATTTTATTCTGGTCCTCTCAGAGATCAGTTTGATTTGCATAAACCCTGCCTTGGAGTGAGTGGGAGGCATAACTTAGAGGATAGAGACACCACCCCCTATAGGGTGGTGATAGAGATGCCAGCAGGGGGGTGGGTGGGCTCATAGCCATTCATGGACTTCTGCTCCATGTTTACCCAGTCCCCTCCTGAAGCTGTCTCTGCTTGTAGCTGCCACTACTTCCTGCGACAAGTGAATTCCACATGTTCATTACTCTTTGGGTGAAAGAAGTCCTTTTTATCTATTCTAAGCTTACTGCTCATTAATTGCTTTAATTAATTATCATGTGGCAGTGGGTGTAGTACAGCCAGTAGATCCAAAGATTGTCTGGCAGCCTAAAACTCTAGCTCTTTTTGTGGCAAGCTAGGTTTGTTTTGGGGGCTGAGAGAACAGTGACTGACCCAAGGTCACCCATCTGGCTTCATCTGGAGGATCAGGGCATCCAACCCTGTTCTCCAGATTAGAGTCCGCCACTCTTAACCACTACACCAAACTGGCTCTTCAATTAGAGAAACTGTTCATTAGTTTCATTTGAGTGCCCAGGAGTTCTTGTATTGTGAGAAGCAGAGAACTGCACTTCTGTCTCTACCTTCTTCTTCATCATCATTATCTATTATTATTATTATTTCTATTTATTAATCACCCTATCCCAGTTTATGCTGGGCTCTGGGCGATGTACAAAAGACAAAATACCATAAAACAAAATATCCCATGCATAATTCTGTAAACCTCCATCACGTCACCCCTCGTTTCTCCAAACTAAAGAACCCTAAACCTCATTAACTTTTCTTCGCTTGTTTGAAGTAGGCAGCCGGGAAATAAGTCCTCTTTTTTGCTTTTCAAAATATGGTATCCCTAGAGGACCCCCGTTACCAAAGTAGGAGCAGATCACAAACACGACCTTTTTTCCCTTTACGAAATATTGGAGCTTTGGAAGCAGCGCTGACCGCCTATGCAATAACAACAATAATAAAAGCACGGCACTGACACCGGAGCTCATCGTGCCGCTCGTCAACGCCGTGTGGCGCGGCGGAACTCCACGGCACGCCCGCCTCCTTTACGACAAAAACAACAACAACAAACGATTGGCTGAGGAGATCTTTTTTGAACGCTCCAGCGTCGTCCGGATTGGCTGAGTCACCTCGCTCCTCCTAGCCCCCCTCCGAAACTGCGATTGGCCTGTCTGTCAGGCAGCTCGATGACGATTGGTCGGTCGCGTTTGAGCGGGCAGAATTTTTTTAAAAAAATGTTTTTAAGCCGGCCTGATTTTTAAACTGTTTCCTCCCGCCGTCGCCTTTTCGTTGGCTGGCGGGTTGAGTCCGGCTCGGGAAGACTGTTGGTGGCGCGGCTGGCGACAGGAGCCCCGTTGTTTTACCTCAGCTCCTGTTTTGGTCTCCTCGTTAAGCCCTTATTTTCTTCCTTTCCTTCCCCTCCTCAGCCTCGGTTCGGTTCCTCTCACGGGACCCTCCGTCCGCTCTCCTCACAGGCCCGCCATGGATCTCGATGTTTCCTTGTCCCCGCTGAAGGTGAGTCTTTCACCTCCGAGCTGCCCCTTTTTCCTCCGCCGCTTTCCCCACCCCCACCATTACAATAATTCATTCCAATTTCCAATAACCTTTATTGGCATAACAATAATTCATTCCTCTTTAATACACGTATCTTCTGACTGACCCTCCCCCCCCTCATTCAGTTTCCATCTCTACCCCCCCCTTTATTTAATCGATATGCTCTCATCAGCATTATTATATGGGAGATTCCAAAAAAATCCCATTCGACAGTAGATTGTGTTCCTGCACTAAGCAGGAGATAGAAACTCTTGAACATGTGTTTCTTTCATGTACTTCCTACTGTCATGGTTGAGAAAGTATTCAGGGGAAACCTGATAAATGTAAGATTTACTTTTTGCTGACAACCCAGAATCACATAATAATTGAAAGTGTTGTAAAATTTCTGTATGAAGCTTCAAGAAAGCGTTCAGTATTCCTTGCAAATTAAGTTTTATGTTCTGTATGTTATGCCAATAAAGACATTGATTGATTGATATGCTCTTTTCTTCACCATCCCACCTTCACTCATTTTACCCCCTTCCCATTAAAACCTGTAACTGCAATGGGTAAGGGCTGCTCAGTGTGGTGTATTTTTATTTATATATGTGTGTGTGTATATATTTGCTTTATTTATATCCTGTGTTTCACCCCAATGGGGACCCAAAACGGCTTACATCATTCTTAGGCAGTAGAAAAGAGCCAAGAGTCCAGGAGCACCTTAAAGACTAACAAAAAATGTAGCAGAGGAGGAGCTTTCAGGTCACTGCTCACTTCTTCAGATACCTGATACTTTCAGATGCCAGTTCAAATTCAAGTTAGCCTTTATTGGCATAACGTGTCAATACAGATTATATGATTTAAGAGCAGATTGAAAACACACCTATTAAAAATACTATATCTTTAGATTGTACAATTTAAGAGCAGGTTAAAGCACACCTATGAAAATATTATGTCTCTGGAGTCCTTTGGCACAGCTTTAAAGCAGAGTGGAGAAACTCTCAGTGAAGTCAGAACAAATCATTTAGAAGTCTGTGTACCTTAAGTGCATCAGGGCAATCCACCATGCTGCTTAAAGTAGAATGCAAATATATATGCCTTAGATCCACATACAGGTGACAATGCAGAAGGACATGAGTAATTGACTCAGCACAATTTTGTTTGCAGGGGCAATATCTGACTGAGTGAGATATCTTGTTAAATCTGCCATATAGAATATCAGAAGGCATAGCATTGCATCTGTAGATGCCAGTTACCTGAAGAAGTGAGCAGTGAATCATGAAAACTCATCCCCTGCCACAAACTTTTGTTAGTCTTTTTAATGGAATTTATTTTTATAACAGGCACACAAATACATAAAAGTTTGGGGTGCCATTTACATCATTCTTTTAACTATTTTGTTACCTCATACATTGTCTACTTTGTAAATTCATATTTTCCACCTTATATTTTTATGGAAATATTTTGCATTATTATCTTTTAATTTGGTTACATGTCCATATGGTTTATTTATTGTAATCTTCCAACCATTTGTAGAATCTTGACCATGTATTTTCAAAGCTTTGTTAGTCTTTAAGGTACTACTGGACTCCTGCCCTTTTCTGCAGCTACAGATGGACTAACAGAGCTACCCATCTTGATCATTCTTAGGGTTACCAGATGTCTTTTATTGGGGGGGGTCTGTCCTCTTTTGAGCTCTTAAAAAAAAACTTAATATGTCCTCATTTGGGGTGGGAAGGTTAGGAATCTTCCTAGTTATTAGCAGTTATCACAGCTGAAATAGGAGGGGTCTTTAAAATGAGATTTAGCATAGGGATTGCTTGTTTGAAGTAGAACAAAGTTCAAGTCCAGTGGTACTAGTAAGACCAGCAATGTTTTAGTTAAGGTATAAGCTTTTGTGGGCACGCTCACTTCTTCAGATTCATGTTGTATGAAGTAGTCAGTCAAGAAATATGTCCTCTTTTTCACTTTTCAAAATATGTTAACCCTAAGCATTCTCCTCTGTTTTATCCTTACAACAGACGCGTGAGGTAGGTTAGGCTGAGAGAGTGTGACTGGCCCAAGGTCACCCACTGAGCTTCCATGGCACAAATGGGGATTCTAACCTGGATTTCCCAGATCCTAATCTGACATTTTAGCCACTACACCACACTGGTGCAGTGTTGGGCTAGGAGTTGAGAGGTCCAGGTTCTGATCCCCGTTATTGCCACAAAGTTTTCTGTGTATGCTTGGGCCAGTCATCCTCTCAGCCTGATTTACCTAACAGGTCTGTTATAAAGATAAAATAAGGAAGGGGAAACTACATAAGCTACTCTGAACTCCTGGGGAAGAGGTGGGATAAAATTGTACTTGATAAGTAGCTGAATTGAACATCTGTCTTGGTGGGCTCCTGTTGTCCTTCTTTGCCTTTATTTTTATTTCCTTTCCCTAAGCCTATATTACATGGTTAGAGTGTTGGACTAGGGAGAGCCACATTTGTTGTAAGCCGTTTTGGGTCCCTGCTGGGGAGAAAAGGGGGGGGGGTATAAATGAAGTACAATAAATGGATTATTATTGTCCATATCTCCTGCCACTCTACACACATTAACTATCCCATTGTGATCTGTGGCTTTTCTTTCCCATCCACCTTCAACTTGAGAGAAAAAGAAAAACATGCTACCAGTCCATTCTCAACCATCTAGTACATTTTAATTTTTGTTCTGCCCTTTTCCCTCCAAGAAGCTCAGGGTGATGTATGTGATGGTTTTAGCACATTTTATCTTCACAACAAATCTTAAGTGGGTTAGGGCGAGAGAGAAAATGACTGCCCAGATGGCAAGACTCAGGTCTCCCAGATAACTAGGGTAATACTCCCAACTGCTATACCACACTGGCTGTCCAGATTTTTTTTCTGTTGTAGATCATGCTTCTCCCCCGCACATTCCTTTCCTTGAGACTATGGGCTCTCATGAGGGCAGGATGGAGCAGGGGAGTATGACCTGGCACCTGCACAGTATTGTATCTGAACTGGGCCACTGGTTGTGGGGTAAAACATTTGTTCCTCTCAAGTGTCAAAGCTGGTTTTGTTGTAATCCCTTTTCTTTGTCTGTCTGTCTCTCTCTCACACACCCCTCTCCCTGCTGCGTTTAGTGTGGACAATATAACTATCTAGAACAAAAGAGCTTTGTGGAATCCAACCAAAATCCTGTCTAATTTATTACCCTGTTTCTGGTAGTGGCCAAGTGGAAAGCATAGCAGCAGCTGCCTGCTCCCCAACAATTAATATCCACAGAGGAACCTTTTATTTGTCTCTTATGAAATTCTAGTGGGGCAACATGTTAGTTGGTTATAGTAAAAACTAAAGAGTCCTGTGGTACCTTAACGTTTAAAAGATTGGCTGTAGCATAAAATTTGAGCACTTGAGCCCACCAAAATGAACACTGGTTGATGTTTCTAGCCAGCAAATGCTTAAGAATATAACTAGAATCTGCTGGATCAGAGCAATGGTTCATCTAGTCCAGCATCCTGTTTCACACAGCAGCCAACCAGTTTTCCTGGAGGGTCAAACAGTGCATCTCCAAGCACACAGACACCCAGCTGCTGCCTCCCAGGACTGTATTCAAAGGTTTGCTGCCTCTGGGTATGTGGAGTCTCCCTTCAGTCATGCTGGCAAGTAGCCAGTGATGGACTTCTCCTCCATGAACACCTCTTCTGGTTTATGGAATACTAGGCACTAATATTTCTGCTTCAAGTACAGCCTTAGTTCTTGGAAGTTCAAACCCTTATTCCTGTGTGGTGTAGGCATTCCCATTTCTGTCCATGCAAACCTGTTCTTGTAATTGATCAGGCTCTCATTTTGACGTTTTTACTTTGCTTCAACTTAGCCGGTGGATGGAAATTTCAAAGGGGATAAGATCAAGAATAAGGATGCCAAAAGGCTCTCTGTCGAAAGGATATACCAGAAGAAAACGCAGCTGGAGCATATATTGCTCCGGCCTGATACGTACATTGGCTCTGTGGAACAAGTGACACAGGTACATAAAGCTTTTGTGGTTGGTGTTGAGGGGAGAAGACTGGGTTTGTTACACTGGATGGAAGAAAGTTTTCCTTAACTGCTTTGTTCTCCTTACTGCATAGTGCAGTTTAGTACCTTACATGTAAGGTTGTCTATATAGTTCTTGGGGGGTGGGGTATCAAGCGGGTGGCTTTTACTAATACCTGCAAGTCTATTCATGAAATATGTGGAATCCATGGCTGATGGCAGCAACTATGAGGTACTGTTTTCTAGTGCTAGGAAGTATGGGACTTCCTGGTAGGGTTAAAATACACACACACAGAGCTGCTTTTTCCTGAGAAATTTCTTGGTGATTCCAAGTCACGTACTTCAGTGCCTCAAGTCATATGCAATAACACTTTGAATGAATGGTGAGACTATTTCTAGAAATAATTGTAAATGTAAAAAATCTTCAAGTGAGAAAGCCGGGTAAGACTACTTCAGACTCACTTAATGTAGCTCAAGCTCTTGTGGTCATGTCACTGTTTTATCAACATGCCAGAGCTGATGTAGCTAACCTTGCAGTTGTCTGACTTTTTCTTCTCTCTCCATCTTAAACTTTTCAATCATTTAAACAGCTTGCTAGCTGTGAATATGCTGTAAAACAATGTGGTGCAACTAAATTATGTTGAACTCTTTGAAAAGTTACTATTGTAATTACCTTTTCAGCAAATGTGGGTCTTTGATGAAGATGTGGGACTGAACTTCAGGGACGTTACGTTTGTACCTGGTCTCTATAAAATTTTTGATGAAATCCTAGGTAAGTTGAGATGCTGCAAAAAAGAACGTATTCTTGGTGAGAGGAACATTGCATCTTGTATGAGCAAGTTATTGATGAGCAGAACAAAATATAGAGGGTTTGCAATGGGTGTCAAGGCTGACTTGAAGAGAAATCTCTCGCTCAGCCACAGACTTGCTGACTGGACAAGTTCTTAGCTCAGCTTCATTCCGTGTTGATAAAATGCAAATAACAATACTAAACAGCACAGGGTTAATTGCATTTACTCTGATAGGGCCTGCTGGAATTGAGTTCCAGTGCTTGGTCAAAGAATTCTGCGAGCCACCATAGTGTACTAGTTAAGAATGTTGGGTTAGAATCTGGGAGCCCTAATTGCCACTTGGCCATGAAGCTTACTGGGTGAGCTTGGGCTACTCACCGTCTCTGTACCTCACAGGGTGCCTGTGATAATAAAATGGAGGGGGGTTGTCTTCGGAGGAGAGGTAGTATATAGTAATGAGATTATTGATTACTTGATAACCCAAACAATGTATTGCTTTTTCTTTTTGTAGTCAATGCTGCTGATAACAAGCAGAGAGATAAGAGCATGTCATGTATCAAAATCACAATCGATCCGTAAGTGTTCAGTTTTCCTTTTGCTCTTCCATAGCTTTTTCAGGCATTAGTATGGCTGGGAGGAGCTGCAAGGTCATTAGCCCTAACTCATACTTTCTGTAGTGGTTCTTGTGACTTTGAACACTGGTATAGGTTTCTTAGGTGGTGGTTGTTTGTATATCACAATCAACATGTGTGCCAGTTCTCCTCATCCAGGGAGCTTACAGTCTAACATTTGCTGTAAAGGAGATAAAAAAGAGAAGGGGGGGAGCTGGAGGTGACAAAAGCATGTGCATTGGTTTCAGTGACGGGCTGATACCTGTGTTTTGGCTATTGTTGCTTGCATGGAGCAGATGCATTCTCAGTGTGATTTTTACAACATTTATAAAAATGTAATTTTAACATGTGGACAAGAGTGTCTAGAAAGAGGGTTGTGTATTTACAGAAAACCAGTTCATAAAAAGTATTTTGCTAAATCAGTCCTGAATCATGGTAGACTCGTGGCTGCATAGAATCTAGCAACCCGGTCCATGGTTCCAGACTCAAGGTCTGCTAGAAGAATGGAGGTATATCATTCCTCTGATCTTTCAGAGGGCTTTGGAGGATAGAAGTTATGAATGCATATTTGAGATTGTTTTAGAAGGGCCACTTCAATTTCCCCACTTGCACAAGAGCATATACCTTTATGAAACGGCACACTGCAGGTAAAACTAGGTCCTATCAAGATTAGTTATGAGCCTATCATGCGCCACTACTCTTTACAATGGGAAGACTCAACAGCATGTAATTTATATGATGTAATCCTTCTAGGGCAGAAAATTGAGGGTGGATTCCAACAGGTAGGGAGAGGGTCCTTTCTTTGAACTACATAAGAATTGCAGACTTGTGTTATTTGAGCTCCCCCTGCAGTCTGTCAGACATTCTTCATGCAGAGTTTGAACCTAAAAACTATTATTGTTTTTTTACTTTTAGAATGAAGAAAATGTTTTTTAAGACAGTTTTACTCAAAATATACTGCATTCATTTTTTCCTATGGGAAATTTGAGGGAGTGTTGAAAAAAATCTATGATTCTTTTTAAAATAATGAATATAATCTGCTATGATAGCATAGGGTGGAGCAGTTTGCACGTCTCTTGCTTTAGTACAGGTTTTTTCATAGCTTCAAACTTTTTAGAACTGCTATATCTCTAGGAATAAGTAATGCCAATTGAATCAAGACATATTCACTGGGAGTATTTGCTTCTGTTTTTAGGGAAAATAATGTGATCTCTGTGTGGAACAATGGAAAAGGGATTCCTATTATAGAACACAAAGTGGAGAAAGTCTATGTGCCAGCTCTTATTTTTGGGCAGCTTTTAACATCCAGCAACTATGATGACGACGAGAAGAAAGTCACAGGTAGAGGAAACTCCAGTAGGAGTTGTTAATCAGTCCCTAAATGACTCTGAAATAATGGCCTTAAGAGACCAGCTCTTTGAAAGTTCTTAACTCTGTTTTTCCAGGGAGTTGTTGCCAGTCAACAGCGTGGGTGAGCAGTGCACAATTTCAGACATTGTTCCAGAATAATTAACAGTGTCCTGGTTCTGTGCTCCTGTTCATTAATGCACCTTAGGGTCTCTGTTTGATTTATAGACATGTGCTAAAGGGAGTAAACTCCATCCCTTTGCTGCAGTTAAGTCTTTCATTGTGTACACAAGCAAAATGAAGGTGTAAATAACTGAAAGATTAGGAAATGTTACATGAGTTGTTAAGCCATGCAACCCACAGCTGCATTATTTTCTGAAAACACTACAGTGAATATATTGGGGAGAGAGAACTGAAGGAGGAAAGAGAGTGTGTTTTCCCTCCCTTGAAAGAAGATGGTCAAACATAACCTGTCCTATATTACAGACCATTTTAGTTTATCTTACACAGTATGAGCATTCTAGCAAAACATCCAAACTGGTTTTATTCCAGTTGGTTTTGTTACAGTAGAGTCAAGATTTGACTGTTGAGTATTAGTCCTAATTGAAACAGAGCCAGATTCTTCATAAAGCCTCCTAAACTCTACAACATGTTATTCTGTGGAAGTAACAAGGTGGTGTTCTTTATTCAGGTGGGCGAAATGGTTATGGAGCTAAACTCTGCAACATCTTCAGTACCAAATTTACAGTGGAAACTGCATGCAAAGAATATCAGAAGCTCTTTAAGCAGGTATGGGGAGCTTTGTAAGCATGCTGTTAGTTCTTTTGCTTTCAGGTGTGCAGCCTAGGCAACTTTTTAAAACCTCAAAGTCTGTTCTGTCCTAACACTAACAGGCTTACAACTGTGCTTAAATATTATTTGATGAAAAGCAAGAGGTAGATAATTAGGTAAATCAGCGAACTGCAGCGTGTCTGGTAGCTATCCTGTAAATAAAGAGAGTCATCTGGTTCTTTCTGTGCTTGACTTCTTTCCTCAGACATGGACAGGCAACATGAGTAAGGCAGGGCAGATGACACTGAAATTCTTCGATGATGAAGACTTTACATGCATCACTTTCCAGCCGGATCTGGCAAAGTTTAAAATGACTGTCTTGGACAAGGATATCGTGGCCCTCATGGCTCGTAGAGCCTATGATGTGGCAGGAGCAGTTAAGGATGTCAAAGTCTTCTTGAATGGAAAGAGGCTCCCAGTGAGTGAACGCCTTTTAATGTTTCCCTTGCTCTTTTTGGCAAGGAGGGTAGAGATACTACCTGAGGTGGAGGGGGGGTCGGCTTTGATGTGGGGAGTTAACCAAGTTATCTCCTCTACAGGTCAAAGGATTCCGTAGTTATGTAGACATGTATGTAAAGGACAAGGTGGATGAAACTGGCAACGTGCTGAAAGTTATCCATGAAGAAGTGAACAGCCGGTGGGAAGTGTGCCTAACAATGAGTGAAAGGGGATTTCAGCAAGTTAGCTTTGTCAACAGCATTGCTACAACAAAGGTAACCAATTGCATGGTGGTGTGTGACTATTTCGTTCAGCCATTTTAGCAATAACTCAAAGGTCAATTTTTTCCACTTAGTCTTGGAATGTAGAGCTTTAAGAGCTTTTTGTTGTTGTTTGCAAAAGATGTGAAAGCTCTGTGAAAACGGAAGATTCTAAAAAAGAAACCTTGGGCTTAAAACGAAGTCTCCTAAATCTATCCCCCTAAGCAAGCAATGCTGCAATCACTTGTGGGTTCTCTAAACCCAATCTTATTTCCTTGGTCTATAGAAATATGTATGATAGAATATTTCAGTGGTGTGGGTGGGAGAGGTGTCTGATACCAAGGTTAAAGTCATTGATTACTTTGGACTTTCAGCTTTCTGGAAATCAGGTCAGAGTCCTGGGCCCACCACATATTTGGGTTTATTGAATAACCATCCATAGGGTGGGATGCTGTGTTGTAGGAAGCTAAGCTAGATGCGCAGCAGTTTCTGCCCCCTGGACTGGCCTTGGATTTGAAAAGGGGGTGGGTGGGTTGCAATGCTCCCTCTAAGTTGTGGAGTCTTGTGAGCAAACATTCTACTTTATTAGCGAGCGATTTGGCTACTGCATAAATTAGTTTGCTCTAGAGCCATCCTTCCTGAGCTAAAAGAATGTGTGAGCCAGAGGCTAAAAAACTGAACGAGCTCACACTAACTCAGCTTAGAGGGAACACTGGTGGGTTGTAATAGGAATGTGCTTGTATTTATTTTTTTATTTTATTTCACTTATACCCCGCCCTCCCCGCAAGCGGGCTCAGGGCGGCTTACATAGGCACAGCTGTGCAATAAAATGCAACAGGATTAAAACAATTAAGGCATCAAGTGCAATAAAAATAGGACAAGTTAAAACAATTAAAAACTTGCATCTTGCAGCTAAAATACTCACTCCCTATTGTATATCGCGGTGGGATCAAAGAGGGGGGATGCACAGTGTATGTGCACTATGTTTATTGGTGATCTCTTCCCCAGCAAGTCCTTGCATTGCCCCACTTGATATTGAACTACAATTCTATTCACCCTCATTATCTAACAGTAAGCTGTCTGACCCCTCTGTGAATGACAGAAAGCTGCAGAACTGGGCCACCCACAAATGGAAACAGAAGGCAGGTGCCTGCCTAGGCAAGGAGTTTCCTAGGTCTGCGGGAAAATGGCTTTGTAAATTTGCAAAGAGAAAAGTGAAGGGGAAAAATTAAATGTCCCAATGTTGACTGAAAAGATCCTAGAAGATTTTTTTAGGAATGCTGAGAGAACGTGGGGGAGGGGAAGAGAAATTTGGTTACTCAAGCCCCATGGAGTTAACACCCTTGGGGGGGCACTAAAAATCACATCTAAAGATATGAAGACCTGGGGCATTTTGTCTTTTTCCCAAGGGGGGGAAACACCCAAAGTTTTTACAAAGGAAACTTTGAGAAACACTATGAAATAACAAACGTGTAATTTTTTTTCTTTTCTGAAATGAATAAAATGCTTAAGACAAGGTTTTACTCAAGAAATATAATTTTTTGTTGTTGTTGTTCAGTCGCACAGTCGAGTCCGACTCTTTGCGACCCCATGGACCAGATTACGCCAGGCCTTCCTGTCTTCCGCCATCCTCTGAAGTTTGCTCAATTTCATGTTCGTTGCATCTATGACAAACCATCTCATCCTTTGCCGTCCCCGTCTTCTTTGACCTTCAATCTTTCCCAGCATCAGGGTCTTCTCCAGTGAGTGCTCCCTTCTCATTTGGTGGCCAAAGTATTTGAGCTTCAGTTTCATTATCTGGCCTTCCAGGGAACAGTCAGGGTTGATTTCTTTTAGGATTGACTGATTTGACCTTCTTGCAGTCCAAGGGACTCTCAAGAGTCTTCTCCAGCACCATAGTTCAAAAGAATCTATTCTTCGGCACTCGGCCTTCCTTATAGTCCAACTCTCGCAGCCATACATGACTACTGGGAATACCATTGCTTTGACCATGCGGACTTTTGTTGGCAGGGTGATGTCTCTACTTTTTATCATGCTGTTTAGGTTCCCCATCGCTTTCCTCCCAAGGAGCAGGCGTCTTTTAATTTCATGACTGCTGTCACAGTCTGCGGTGATCAGTCTGTGATGATCTGGGATCCCAGGAACGTGAAGTCTGTCACTACCCTTGTACAGGTTTCTCAAGAGACATGTGAGGTGGTCTGGTACTCCCATCTCTTTAAGGACCTGCCATAGTTTGTTGTGATCCACACAGTCAAAAGCTTTAGCATAGTCAATGAAGCAGAAGTAGATGTTTTTCTGGTACTCTCTTGCTTTCTCCATAATCCAGCGAATGTTGGCAATTTGATCTCT